CGTCTTATACTTAATCTTATACTTAATCTTATACTTAACCTTATACTTAACCTTATACTTAACCTTATACTTAACTTTATTCTTAACCTTATTCTTAACCTTAGCTAAGCGTAGCGCGTAGCGTAGAGCTAATCTAGTGTAATCTATATAGTACTCTTTATTCTTAACTATAACTATTTCTATAACTACTATATTCTAAGATTAATATAGAGTTTATAAAGTATACTTAGTTAACTCTAGCTATATTACGTTATCTCTTTATCTCTTACCTATATTATTACTTTATTTAGATAAATAAATATTATTTAATTAAATATAGTACTAGTATTATATTACTACTACTTTATAGTATTAACTTAGGTAGATTTTAGTAAAGCTTAAGCTTATAGATTAACTATAGAGAACTAGTTCTTAATTCTACTAGTCTAATATTTCTAGAATATAGTAAGTATTCTCTTAGTATTTACTAACTCTTAAGCTACTATCTACGCCTAAAGAGCACGCTCTTAGAGAAATAGAGGTATAGCTATCTACCTACCTATAGTTAAGTAGTAACTTAGAATATTCTTAGACGCCTATTAGTATAATATAGATACTAAACTATATTATATATTTATAATAGAAGAGCTTTATATAGATAGAAAGCTTCTAATAAGTAGTAAGCTTTTTATAGGTAGTAAGCTTTCTATAGAAGAGAAACTTACTAGTTAAGATTAACTATATTTATTAGCGTAGTAAAAGTAAAGTAAAACTAGTTTATATATACGTCTTATATATATAAGTATATATATTTATCTTAATTATTAGTTAAATCTCTAAACTACTATAGACTAGTTAGTTAATGCTAACTATAAAGTAGTCTAGATATATTCTTACACTTAACTACTTAACCTCTAGACTAGGCCTTAGAAACTAGCTAATAGATCTATAAATAACTAAGATAACTTTTAAAATAAGCTTTTAAATAAGCTATATAGAATACTAGTAGAAGAGATATACTATTAGCTCTATAATAATAAGCGTACGTTACTCTAGACTACTTCTAGACTATTTTTAGCTTAGTAGTCTTAAATATTCTACTTATTACGCTTTTTATATTTAGCTTTATCTAGAGTAGTTTTTAGACGTGCTTTTAAACTAGTATTTTTATATATCTATTTAAGACTATAGACTATATAGGTCTTATATACCTTACTATTACTATAGTTAATAACTTCTATACTACGTAGTATTAGTATAGTGTCTATTAAGTATACTCTAAGGTAACTTACTTACTAATAGTCTTTACTAGAGATATAGCTCTACTTATAGAGTTTATTCTATAATAATTCTACTCTAAATTATTACTATCTTAATATTAGATATTCTACTATACTTTAGACTTAATAAGAGACTTTATAAGACATAGGCCTACAGCGTATATACTTCTATCTCTTTTATTCTTTACCTAGACGCTAATTTTACTATTAGAGAATATAGCTAAAATATTAGTCTAGTATAAACTTAGTATATTCTAGATATACTAATTAGACTCTTAATAAAATAGTTATATTTCTCTAATATCTTATAGTTAATAAGATTTTTAATAGCTCTATTTAAGCTTTCTATATTCTAGTTTATACTCTAAGTTAATTTTATAATCTTTTTTATAAAGTAAACTACGTAAAATATAATAATATATATAATATACTATTACTAATCTCTACTATTACAAGTAGTATATATAAGATAATTACTAAATTTTATAAATATATAAGTAATTTTAGTATATTCTACTAGTATAGTAATATACTACTAAGCTACTTAGTGCATATATCTATAATAATAATTTAAATTCTAGTTCTATTTTAGTAATACTAGTTTATAAAGTATTCTACTATACGCTATTCTTAAAATACTTTAGTAAATACCTTTTAGTATATCTTTCTAGTGTCTCTATTAACGTATACCTACGTAATTATATAGACTATAGTACTATATTAAATTAGTCTAAGTAAAAACTATATAATATACGTTTATTTAGGCTCTCTAAGTAAGTAGTAAAAGTAATCTTTTATATAGATTTTGTAGCTATACGCTTAAAACTTATATTAATAGAAAACTAGCGCTAAGAACTATTTTAGAGTAGAGTAAGTTAAAACTAGAAAAATATAATAATAACTAGGTTATTTCTATTATAGTAGAAGTGTTTAATATACTAGATAATATTAGTCTAGAGTATACTAGAATTACTTCTATTCTACACTTACTTTATCTAGCTTTCTATACTCTACTTAGTAATATATCTTAATACTCTTAATTCTATTATTATAATATATTATAGTTAAATTCTTTTTATAATAAAGCGCTTAGAGTATATTAAGATTATTTAGAGAAGCGTGTAGCTTAGCTACTAACACTAGGCTTCTATCTTAAAGTAGTTTATAGAAAAAATAGTTTTATAATAAAGTTACTAGTTAGAATTAGTCTTAGTTAGTACTTAATTAATAGTATATACGTACTTATATTTTAATTACCTTCTTATATAGTGTAAATAATTTAACGTAACTCTTTCTCTATAAGTAGTAGAAGCTTAGATAGTAGAAATAGTAGATAGTTATAGTTATTATAGAATACTATAATAATTATAGAATTAGTCTTAATTTTAACTAAAATAAAGATATAGAAAATATTTAGATATAGATCTAGTTCTAGAAATTACGTTAGAAAGTTAATAATTAGTTCTTTACTAGTAAGGTAGGTAATCTCTAGTTAATATAAGTATTAACTAAGATAGCTCTTATATATACGTATAGTAAGTAGATTTTCTTACTTTATTTTACTCTATAATATAATACTTAGTTATTACTAGAGATATATAATCTTCTTAGAATTATTATATTAAGAAGAGTATCTCTAAGTTATATTTAGAAGAAATCTTCTTTTTAAAATACTTACTCTACTAAATACTAGAGTTGTATTAATAGGTATATATAATATAGTACTATAGAGTTTTAGATATTATCTTATAAAGTTAGTCTATACTTAGATAAGTCTCTATATTAGTATAGTATAGAGAAGATATAAGATAGCTCTTAACTTATAATAACATTTATATTCTACTAGATAGTAGGCTAATAAGTTTTAGTATTATACTCTTTATATAAAGTTCTAAGATAAAAGATTCTAATTATAGCTATAAAGTAGCTATAACTATTAGACTAAACTTAGTAGAATCTAGATTACTATATATCTATAGATCTCTTACTATATAGAGTTTCTATTCTTATAGAAATAGATTTTATATATAGTATTAACTATACTCTTACTATAATAAGAGTAAGATAACTTTTATACCTAAGAACTAAGCGCGCTATAGTATTTAATACTTTAGTACTTATATTTATAGTAATAGTATTTAATATTATCTAGAATTTAGACTCTTATACTATAATTAGTCTTAGAATTCTTTAACTTATTTATATCTTTTTTCTAAACTTAGCTATAGCTATACTAGATTACTTTATAGGTATTAGTAAAACGCTAAAATAGACTAAGTATTCTCTTATACCTTAACTACTAAAAGAGTCTAATATTAGATTTTTATATATAGTAACTTTACTATATATATAGTGCTAGTAGATAAGATATAAAAGTATATTAGTACTATAGTTATATAAAAGAGCACTAATACCTCTAAAGAAGTAGTTTAAGTACTATCTTAGTTCTAGATAATAAAGTTATTATTAGCCTTAACTTCTACTTTACTATTTAAATTAACTAGTATATTAAGTTTAATTTTAGTATTATCTAGGTAATAATTACTAGAATTACTATTAATATTAATATCTAAAAACTTAGGCTATTATAAGTTAGAAATAAACTTAGTATAATCTAGATAATATATATATACGTCTTTAGAAGGCTTCTCTAAGTTTAGCTAGTAATATATATTCTATAGTAGTATAAAAGAGGTTTATACTAGTAGCTTAGCTACTATATAAGTAAACTAAATATTACTTTACTTATTATTAGCGTAAGATATAAACTATAACTAGACTAAGTATATACTAGACTCTTAACTACTCTAAACGCTACCTACTTATATACACTTTATTAGAGATTCTTTTAAGTCTTTCTTAGATACTATATATATAGAAGATACTATAAATATATTATAAAATAAGTCTAATAGTGTATAACTACACTAAATAAAGTAACTATAATCTATCTAAGATAAATTAAATTAGTAAGAGCTTAGTATAAGCTATACTATAGTATACTTAGATTATATATATACCTAAAAGAAAAAGTTACTTAGTTAGTAACTTATCTAAGTATAAGTTTAAAAGCTTATTATAGTTAATAGTATTACTAGTAGTAGTATTAATTAGTAAGAAGTTAATAGTAACTAACTAGAGTTTATAAAATTAAACTAGATATACTTTATAACTAAACTAGATAGTAATTAAGTATACTACGTATTAGCTAAGAAACTTAACTATATATAGTTTAAAATTTTACTAAAGCTATACTATAATTTATTATAAAGTAATTATTATATATTTAACTTAAAGTAGTAAGTCTATATTACTAAAGTAGTCTCTAAGTATAGTTTAAGTTCTATCTTTATATAAGTTACTTATAGCTAAGCTAATAGAGAAGACTTTTATACTACTATAGTATTAGTAATAAAACTTAAGTTTATTAGACTATACTAGGTATATACTAAAGTTAAGAATAAAGATTTTAGTTCTACGTATCTTAAATCTAGATCTATCTTAGTCTAATCTAATATAGTATTAAGAATAAATAAGCTAAAAATTCTAAAGTGCTAAGCTATTTTAGATACTAAGTAAAAATAGCTAAAGTGCGCTTTTATAGCGCTTGCTAAGGTTACCTAAGGTTGCGCCGCAGAATAGCTAAGCTACACTGTCTAGTAATTGTCCACATTATTGCTACCACCTTTCACTGCCTTAGCTGGCTTGGTATCGCTGCTCATCTCCTCTCCCCTCCGCGCTTCACCTCTTCTTCTTGCTAACCACCGTCTCAAAGCCATCCTCATCAATCTCAGGCTCAGGCTTAGCCGCCTTCGGTTTCGCAGGCACAAGCGCAGGCGCATCATCCATATCCACATCCTCATCCTCATCCGTCTCCTCATCCACACTATCCCCCTCAAAGTCCTGATTCGTCTCCTTGACATTAACACTCCCAGTCGCAACCTCCTTGCCCTTCCGATCTTCCCACTTCTTCTGCAGCGCATCCACCATCGCCGTGTTGCCCTCGCCAATCTCCCTCCGTATCGCCATGATTTCGCGCGCGACAGCGACTTCGGTCTCGTCTTCTACGCGCACGCCGAACTCGTCCTCGAGGACTTGTAGTAGGACGACTTCCACATCTTCTTGGTCTGTGAGCGGTTCTGCGGCGAAGAGTTCGGAGATTTGGCCTGCGAGCCAGTCGCGCTTATCGGAGGAGTCGGGGCCGCCCCATTGGTTTTGGACGGCGACGGTGAGGTTGTTCCAGTTGAAGAGCGCGTGCCAGATTCCGAGGTCGAATTTGTCCTGGTGTTGTTCTAGGCAAACGTTAGAAAATGAATGTGTAAATCGGCGCGACTACTTACCGGCGATTGGGCCGAATGTTGAAGTCATTTTGGGTTGTGTTGCTGAGAGAATCGCTGAGCGTGGGATTGCGTGACGGAATATCGACAATTTTGCCCGTTATCGATAGCGCCCCGCCATTATTTCATCACGCACACGTGAAGACGCGACATCGCGTTCCGCCACAGTCAATGCAGTTGATTAGCGTCGCATTTGCTTTTTGCAGGTGAATCTGCATATCCGACGTGATGCATCTGGTACTGGTTGTGGTCTCACGATTTCCTCACCAACCACTCCAGTTCCTTCGCCTGTTCATCCGTAACAATCTGCTTGAACTTGTCCGTCGTCAAGAAGTCATGATCCGAGAATTCAAAGCCGGGTATCACAGTCTGGAAAGTCGCGTTAGTCAGACACACGGGGTCAACGATCATGTGTGAAAGCACATACCTCACTGATCAACAATCTCTCCCCCTCCGCTCCATCAAGCAGAAAACTCGCCTTGTACTTCCCACCCTCAACAATCCACACGCTCTTCTCTCCTTTGGTGACGTCAGTCCCAACCACGAACGTTTCGATGCGCTTCTTAGTGCCGGGCTCGTCGGCGTGGATGAGGACGTAACGACCTCGACCTGAGATAAGGGTGTGTACCTTCATATGGCAGTTAGTATCGGTAATATGTTTCAACCACCGCACGCATGTCAAGCGGTGGATGATAGGGTTATTCCAGCAACAACGATACAGGGCAGGGCCGCAAGACGCGGCCAGGCAAGTTGACACAATAACCTTAATGAAGGTACAGTCCCCAACGCCTTGCATTTGCCGCGCACAGGTGTAGGCAATGATGGTCGGGTCATACGTACAGTTCTCCCCTTATTCCGATGAAAGTGTCCCTGCGGATTCACTGCACTCAACATATAGTATATGCTCGTGCTCGCGTTCCTGATCGCATTGTCACCTGACATGGGTTTCTCCGCTGTATTCTTCACATCCTCTTCCTCATCGCCGCCGTTCTTCACTAAGAAAGGGTTGGGAATGGTGAGAGGGTTGCGATCGATTTCGGCATAGTAGCCGCCTTCGACGTGTACTTGGAGATTGAGGGCTGAGATGACGGCTTGGGTGTTGGCGGGTTCGGTGGCGGAGGGGCTGGGGGTGTAGATTTGGGTTATCTTCTCTGTGGTGGAAGAATTGGGCGACATCTTGGTTGCGGGATGATTAGCTGGCTCGGTGTGGATGGGATGGGATACGTGAGGCTCGGTGTTGGTGATCGATGACGTTATCGACGCTAGTCGCTGATAAGATGGGCAGGAAGTCGCGCTGCAAATCTCAGACAACACCGACGCGTCCACGTCGTTCACTTCTAACAACCCCAACACCGCGCGACGGCATCCGACTTCAGCGCAAGATCTGAAACCACTAAATGGCGCATTCTTCGACGGTGGTGTTCACTGCACCCGAAGTCAGTGGCATGTATGCACGCTCCGGTGTACAAGCCCTTCTGATCCAATCATCGAGTGCTACATCGGATGAGTACAGCCTTGTTTAATTTGCGGCGACATACTTTCCCTATGCATGCTATCGGATGGTGGGTGGATGGCCAATGATGTCGAGGTAGGCCCCCGCACACATGCTTCATGCGGCACAGTCGCTGCAAGGCCGTATCGCATCTTGTTTCTCACTCCGAGTTCGCCTTACTTCATACTCACCTTCGATACATTCCGCAATAATGGGATGTTGCAATTTGTTCAGGTTCTCCCGCCGAAAGGATCGAGACAGGCCTAGGACACCGGCACCACAAGTCGCTGTGCCCACCAGTGAAGACTTGCAAGAGAAGCGGAGCGAGGAGGGGCCGAAAACCTCCTCCACGACGGATCTACAGTCACCGAGCACCAGCACCCCAGAACTGGTAGCGGAGAGCTTACCCGGACGTCTATGGAACCTGGCATACGACCAGCTCAAATCAAAGGATCCGAAATTGATCGAACACTATGAGAGCATCCTATCAAGCCAAATCGATAGACAAGAGCTTAAAGCCGTGGACCTCGATACACAGATCAACAACATCAGCTCAGGGCAGCCAAGATCACTGCAGATGCGACAGCTCGTTGACTCTGGGTTGCTCAGGACGGAGAAGGCAGCTGCGACTAACGAAGCAGTCGCGCAAGGCCTGCAGGTATTCAATGTCGTCAAGGATAGCGTCGCAACAGCTACCAGAGCTTCTCCAGAAGCCTCTATAGCTTGGGTACCGATTTGCCTTGCTCTTGATGTATGGCTGGCGAACTTTGATGATGCAAGCACATCGCTGATGCATGTCAGATACTTATGAATCCACTCACCCAACAGTCTTCTAATAGAGATGGAATCGCTTACGTCGTATCGAGGATGGATTGGTACTGGCATCTAGCTGATCTTCTCCTAGAGAGAAACCAAGAAGCCCGACGATCGCAGCCGCTGCAAGATCAACTCGAGAAGAATCTCGTCGACCTTTACACTCGTCTGCTGGCATACCAGATCAAAAGTATCATTACATACCATCGCCGGCGTGGCGCTGTTTTTGCAAGAGACCTTGTTAAGTGGGATGATTGGGAAGGTGAGCTGGCTGCGATCAAGGAGATGGAAGAATCAATACGCCAAGATGCAGCTCAGTTCAACACGCATGAGATCCGCAACCAACTCCAAACTATTGCGGAGAAGGCCGAGTCACAGGACATAAGCCTGCATAACATTGTGACGAGTATCCAGGAACAAACGGCGCACTCTCTGGCGTATACGAAGAGTGCCGACGACAACAAGTGTCTTCAAGACCTGTTCCAGACGAACCCCAGCCACGATAAAGAACGGCTGGAAAAAGCAAAAGGAGGATTATTGGATGGCTCTTTCCGATGGATACTTGACAACGCGGACTATCAGCGTTGGCAGGATGACCGCGAAGGGCGATTACTCTGGGTTGAAGGGTGAGTTAGCAGCATTCGATGTCGTGGTTTCACCTCATATAAGGGAAAAACTGAACAGGTCTGGAGCCTACATCAACATAGAAGCATACAAGATAGGTGGCCTGGCGTCGATGTAGGCTCCAGACCTGTTCAGGTCTTCCCTAGGTTGACGTGGTTTGGTGAGCAATAATTTCTAATAACTTCTAGTTCACCCGGTCAAGGCAAAACCATGCTTATGTGCGGCATCATTGACGCACTCGAACAAACCGTGGCGGCGGGTGATCTCATATCTTACTTCTTCTGCCAGACATCGGAACCGAACAACAACAACGCAACGGCAGTCTTACGGGGTCTCATTCATCATCTGATCGGTCAGCAGCCCTCACTTGTACGCCATGTACGGCTGGAGTATGATCGCGTGGGCGAAAAGTTATTCAACGACGCAAACACGTGGACGGCTCTGTCTAAGATCATTACCAGTATGCTGGATGACTCACATATACGGCAAGGGAACATCTACCTCATCATAGACGCTATGGACGAATGCATCGACCCGGACGATCGTAGAAGACTCTTGGAACTGATTGTACAGATCTCAAGAAAGCTTTCACACACCAAGTGGATAATCTCATCGCGCGGCTGGAACGCTATTCGCGATGTGCTTACTGAGCATCCTCAAATGCTTCATCTTCAACTCGACCCCCAATCCGAAGCTATTCTTGATGCGGTCGATACTTACATCGAACACAAAGTCAAAGCGTTGACTGATAAGAAGAGATTGGGTCCATCGGATGCCGAAACGATCCGCGACTACCTGAAGAAAAACGCCGGAGGGACCTTCTTATGGGTAGCCTTAGTCTGCAAGAGGTTGGAGTTCTCGAAACGCGTGTTTTACGAAAAGGACATGCAGGCCTTCCCTCCTGGGCTCGAACAACTGTATGGAAGGATGCTCCAGCAAGTTCAGAGCTTAGATGAGCCGGAATCGAAGCTTTACAAGTTTGTGCTCGGGGTCGTGCTGACATCACCAAGACCTCTTGAGACGTACGAATTGGCCTATTTGGTGAAAGAGCTAGACGAAGTTGGTGATAAAGTATCAACGATGCGAGACATCGTTCGAGAATGTGGGTCATTTCTCTTAGAGCAGAACGATGAAGTCCTCTTCGTCCACCAATCCGCCAAAGACTACCTGCTGGGCCGTGGCAAAAGTGCTGTATGCCCAGACGGAGAGAAAGCGTTGCGTCTTCATACGCTCTACAGATCGATTGAGGTTTCGATAACCTTTACCCGAGGTCAAACGATCAAAGGGCATTCTACACTACATCATCGTGCTTACCGTCAAAGGAGTTCCAGGGAAGTGTACTCGCTAAAAAGGACCTACTTACTTCCTGAGGCTTATGAAGATCGGGATTTCCCTCTCGTGATTCTCATGGAGCAATGCTCCATGTGGATTGACATGTTCAGGCGCCGAGATAACCACAAGGAATTGAAATTTCTCCACCTCTTCATTGGGCAGCTCAATAACCTATTACGGGTATGTATGAGCCATCAAGTCATCTGCACTCTTTTAACGGAGCTTAGGATTGTAGCGACTCATCTGAGCGTGACGATCTCATCGAGTCGATCCTACAATCCATGGAAGCGAAGGAGCAAATCATAGACGTATGCATCGGCCTCCAAGTGATCTGCCCTTTTTTAACAAGATTTAGGAATGTAGCTTCTCATCTGAGCGTAAAGCTTTCATGAGGCCGATTATAGAATCTATGATAGCGAAGAGGCAGACTACAAGGGTATGTATTAGATATTAACTGATGTGCCCTTATTTAACAGTATTTAGGATCGCGACTTATCCAAGCGTAATGATGTCATCGAGCGTAATGATATCATCGATCCTAATGATATCATCGAGCGTGATCGTATCATCGAGCAGTACGAACAACACAAAAAAGCGCAGAAGCAAATTATAGAGGTGAACTAAGAAGGAGTTTGTTGCCGTTGACGCCTAGCGCGATCCTAGATTTGACTTATAACATGGAAGTCTTGAGATACATGTTCTTTCGTAAACCGATATATAATGCCAGAGGACCCGCTAAATGTCTTAACTTCTGCCTCTACTCTCCTTCCTGATGCAAGGCGTATAAGCCCACTAGCATGTTGATGAAGTGAACTTTGTTTAGCTTCAGTACTAGAAATCTAATTGATCAGGTCCAACAGGCTAGCTTTGGGAGTCTTTCCTGACGGATGAATGGAGTCGATGCCGGAGTCGATACCACAATGCAGTAGTAGTGACGCAGTATAATACACAGTAGAGGGCTATACCCTGATTTGGGAGTCTTAGCGGGACATTACGCAGCTACTACGGTATCTTACACTCTTGCATGGTAGAGATCGAAAGTATTAGGGTTTAATAGCTCCGCTACGGCATTCTTTGGTAGTGTTCAAGGCTTTGGGGCTACACGTTCTTAGCCAGAACGTATCTATCAGACTTCCTGTACAACATAATCTTTATTTGTTTCAAGAGACGGGCGAGGATGCTAGTTTTCATCGAGCTGGATGTACACGCGCTCATCCAATGTATCATACGCTGTGGCTCTAGATTTCCCAAATCAGGCGAGCCAATGTTCCACGACAGACGTAGTAGCCGATACTCAGACAGCTGTTACACGACAAACTCCACTCAAAAGCTTGGCTGACCCAAGATATAACCATACTGAACCAATCTCCTCTTCTGCTCCATCGTTTGCATCGTTGGCCACGCCTTCGTTGTTTCTGTAAGCCGCCAGATCAGCGCACTGGATAGGAAAGAGCACTCCAACACTTCCATACAAGCACCCTAAAGAATGTCACAAACTACAGTACCAATGCGAGACCAAGAGGAAGCTATCAATGCGGGCCGACAACCATCTCAACCCTTTCCTGGCAGCCAGCCCGACACGGTTACCCAGTCCAATGAATAACCCGAATTGATCGCCAACGAAGAACAATCTGGAGTCGAGTGTCAGGAACCTCACGAATCGGACAATGCAGCAAGCTGCGAACAAGCACGAAAGCGGAGACCTGGACCACTGACCGAAGAGCAACGGCTGGCAGCGAGAATCCGTCGCGCTAAGGCAACGTGCACTCGTTGCCGTACGAGGAAGATACGTTGCAGTAGTAATTCTAGCAATAGCTCTAGGTGCAAATACTATACAATATCTAGCTTTAGGGAGACAAAGTGTTGCTTCAGATTTGTAGGATCAAAAGCTGTAACAAGAGTAAAACATTAAGATTGTACTTTAATTACTTAAAAGAACCTTAGGGTAGAGTAAAGTAGCTGCTATAAATAGCTCTTAAGATGTTTTGCTAACTTTTTACTAGTATGTAACCTCCTTGCTACCCTTTAGCTAAGGCAATTCTAAGATATCTTGTTAGGCGTACTAACAGTTTGATAAATGAAGACTGGAATATCAATCTTCGGAGGGGAGTATAGCTGGTGGAAGGGCATTGGTTGCGTTTGGGAGAAGAGTTGCTCCAGAAGTCACGCCCGGCTCGATAGCGGCATCGAATTCGTCTATATCATCAGCCGGATGGACTACCTCGCCATCATCAGATGTGTGTCAGGTGGAATCTGCTTCTGCGCAAGTTAGCTCTTTTGCGACTTCAAACACTGTATGAGATATGAACATACCGTCATCATCCATAGTTGCATCAACCATATTCTGCTTTCCCTTCTCTTCTCCCGCCCGAACGCGCCCTCGAACGAATTCTATGTCGCTGAGCTGTATCTCTGCTGACGAGTTGTTCTTTATCCTCTTCATTTTGCCCACTACCAGTAGATCGTAGACGTTGTTCCCGTTGTCGATACCTGGCATTTCGTCGGCGAGGTCACCCAAGGCCCGCAAGATCTCAATAGGCCACCACTGGAGGTCTTTCGGGTAGCGCATGGAATGAGGAATACATGTAGTGCTTGTGGTAGTGGTTTCCCATTGAGATGTTATCTTCGTCGCGAGAATTATTCGCTCTTCACGATCGGGATGGTCTTCTGGTAGACACATGGTGCTATTGATAGTAGATGGTGGTTTTGAGACTGATAGAAGAGCAGTCCTGCTAGTGATATATATGGGCAAGACGGCAGTAGTCTATTTGCTACTGTCACGCGAGACAATATGGAATACTGTGATCATCTGTGAAGAAAGCAAGCATCCGTGATTGCCTCTCACTTCTCTCTTGATTAAGTGACGTGATCGCCGGGGCTTTGACAATGAAATCATGATTCCCTAAGTAACCGCACATACTTCCCCAATCCCTACGACCAATCCGATTCATAGTCCTCGTCCGGTCCATAGTATTCCTCGGGCGATTCCTCATCTGTAGTGGTAGCTTCTTCGCTATCATCTGCAGTATCTCCTTTCAGCCATTGATCTAGTCTCTTTATCTGCTTCCGCGAGGCAACAAAACGTTCCTCATACGCCGCCCGAACTACGGTTCTTGTTCGTGACTTGAACGTCGCGGGATGGGATAACACGAACAACACTGCGTTGTACGCCTTGTCGCCATTCATTTTATCATCCTCAAATTCGCCCAGCAGGATGAGATACAGCAACCTGAAAGCGGCGTCGCGTGCTCTCGACTTAACACCCTTGGTATCTTCATCCTCTGGGTCCCAATCTATCTTGCAGATCCTCAGATCGCTGAAGATCTGGTCGATACGTCGTTTTTCGAGGACGTTAATGCCGAGAAACTCGTATGTTTCGCATAGAACGTGGTATTGCTGAAGCTCGGGGGGAAGATTCCTGAAGCACTGTCGATAACCCGATTGGATTCCCTTCAAAGCTACGTCGAAAAGAGGTATTGGGCCGTGGACCAAATCGATGGCGTCGGGCTGGGCTTTGGCTTGGAAATCGGCAAAGGATGATAGATAAGGTATTTGCGAGAGGTCGACATCGTATTTGACATCTCCGATCGTGATATGGGTATCTTTGGGGGTAGTATCCACTTCTGAAGGTGCATGCTGCCGAGTTACAGCATAGCATCAATACCGCCCGCTTTTTTCAGGTCCAAAATTGCTTACCTGAGTTGGTGCATGCGTGTTTGGGGCGGGATTCTCGCTCGTCATTCTGAAGCTGAGGTGGTTGGGCTTTTGGCGAGAGGCGAACAATGCGGGGTAACTCCCTTTCAAAACCCAAACTTGCGCGGCGTTCGAGGAATCAGCTCATAGAGGCTTCGATTTACCCATGTTCGTACTTTTGCTGCTGTGCGACATTGGATCTGCAGTGTGCCACACGTCTATTGGCACATATCGAGATCGGTTAAGCCCCACTCGCCATTGAGGCACAGTAATAAACAATTAAGCATGCTACAATTACACGTGACAGTCGCAGGCACCGCTATTTATGTCATGTACTAGCCTGAGGTCTAATCTGCACTACGTCTTATTTACATTGCTTCAACCTCTTGCCCGACCCTCAACTTCCCCATCTTGTGGTGCGTCCTCCGTCTCAAACGGCATGGCCCAGTTTTCTGGTGGTTCTTGCGCATCCTCTGGCTGCAGCTCATCGTGCTCCAGTTCCGCACGCTCATCCTTTTCGTCATCACCCGTCTTGCCACCTTCCTCATCAACATCTGTCTCATCTCCGTCTAGTGAATACCGTATCTTCCTCTTTAGCGGTAAGTTCGATGCTCCACGCGCACCTTGTAAGCTCGAGGCAGCCTCGTCAACCGTAGCGTCGTGGGTCGCTATGCTACTCGCGCAGTCCTTGTCACGTCTTGCCATGACTGATGAGCGTCGGCTGTGAGCCATCGAGAGTCCTGCCTCTGCGATATCCACGTCGGGCAGTAGCGTTTGGTCATCGGCACCGTCTTGAGTGTTGGGTTCGGTGGCTCGAGATTCACGTCGTCGTCTCTTCCGTTGCCTTCCATCGAGATGCTGACTTCCCCGCTGGGCGTTCGTCGCGCCATCTTGACCCTCCTCGCCGGTAGTCCCGTCGGGGTTTGAAGGTGCAATAGGTAATTGCTTTCGACTGTTGGTAACAGAGTCATCATCTTCTTCTTCTTCACGTAGGTCACGGAAGTGATCAAGAGCGACTTTGACGTCTGATTCTGCAAACGCTTTGCCTCCTCCCCGGCCTGCTGGTCTTGTCCTCCACGCCTTTTCTATCTACGCCCATGCTACATCCTTTCGACCTTTTGTGATGCGAGCTAGCTGGTAAAGTAACTTCGTCAGATTCCTTTGGTCGCTGCAGCTGTGCAGCGGCCGATTGGTCGGCTTTCCAAATTTGTCTAGCTGCCGCATGTTTGGGGGAACAAGGGCTTTAATATCAGTGACGTTCCAGTAGTACTTGATCCACAGTTCCTGCTTCTTCATCAAAGTCTCCGGGTCATCTTCATCTTCTGGAAGTATTCGTTGTGGACGTGGTTGGGGGGTTGCAACATCATTCTGGGCTGGGGCGGCTTCCTCCTCTACTGGCATAGCCGCCGGTGGCAATCCAACGCTGTCTCGGACAAACTCTAGATCAGATACCTGTAGCTGCGGTTCATGAGTAGTTGACTCGTCTGTCACCCTTATCGTATAGCCGAGATTCAGGAGTTCCACGAATCGATGCCGTCCCCCATCGCCCGGCATACCACTGGCTAGATAGCTTAAGGATCGTAGGATGGGTAGGGGCCAGTTGCCGATCCAACCAGGGTATCGCATGTCGCCCGGAATGATGTATGTAGCGTCTGCGACATTCCACATAGACTGTATATTCATGACAAGGTTAGGCCGCTCGAAGGGATCGGAAACGCCAAGGGATTGTTGCATGGTGGGGTTCGTGGTAGGTAGATTTTACGATGCTCTGTCGAGCATCTGAGGAGTGCAAATATACATGGTCGAGCTTCGTTGTTGCGATGTTTGTCTTGCTTGTCGTGAACGAACTGGAAGAGAATAGTCATCGATGGATCTCACGAGCACCTCCAGGCTCGTCGGGTAGTTCTTGCTTCTCATATTGCTAGAAACATGTCGTTACCCTTGCAGACTGAAGTCCCAAAGCAACGCACTATCAACATTCAAAGGAGTCTCCATATTCAACACATCGCCCTCGTCGATCTTAGTACCCGGCTGACAACTCCCCATCAAATCCGCATCCGACCACGATGGAAAAGCACCAATCGAACCAAACGGCTGCTGATACCCCGGTATCCCCGCATCCGTCCCAGGACTCGAGCTTGTACCAAACTGAGACGACACAGTCGCACTGTCACTACCCATCTCCTCCGCCATCATCCGTGTACTCGAATCGCGTATCGCCTCATCCAGCATATCCGACAGATAGCGCGCAGCGAGAAACGCCATGTCTGATTTCCGGCCCAGATACCAGAGACCTTCTATGCAATCACGACATCTCCGTATCGCTTGATCGCGTTCCTCTTCGATCGTTTCCGACGCCACGACCTGCACCAAGACGTACCCAGCTCTGCATAACGAGCGCACGAAAGCCACAGTCCACGGCTCTGTCAACAGCGCGGCTTGGCTGAGCGCAAAGTGGAACTCATCTGTTCCCTCTTTCTCTTTTACGCTGTGTATGCTAGCGAGACTCAGGTCGGCGACTGCCAGTGCATTTTGGCGGCGCAGCGTATCCACGAGGTTTGATGACTGTCGGAGGGTGCGTTCGTTGGGCGAAGAGAGTTTTGTCTTGTCGATTGTGAGGAGTAAGTCGGAAAGCAGGAAGGTAGCGAGATGCCAGTGGCCTGCTATGAGGGTGTACCAGGATTGTACGCGTGTGGGGAGGGTGGCGTGATGTTTTACGCAGTCGGCGAAGAAGGGCGCGTACGTGCGATGCCAGTGGTTGTAGACGTGGAATGCGCCGTTTATACCTGACTGCTCATGGATTGATCAGCCAGGGGCCTTGAAGAGAGGGGATATCACGTCTCTGTACTCACCTCGATCCTAGCTGGTGGAACCTTCCGCGACACCAACGCTTGGAGGTGGGCGACACGTCTGTATAGTAGTACTTTCACTGGTGCGGCGGAGCTGAGTGTTGCGGCGGCGACCTTGTAGCTACATGGCCATCGCGCTGCTCCAGGGTCCACTTCCAATGTGCCATCGCGTGTGAAGAGATCACCCCACACCGCATTGCCTTCCTGGGCCTGAGTCGCCGGAGGCTCAGTGGAAAGGATGGAAGGATTTGTCCGCATTCCAAATTGGTCCGTGTAAGTGGTAGGAGGGTTAGACCACGTGAACGGCTCCGTGTACGCGTCGGTGGTTGGAGGTGGTAGTTCGCTGTCTTCATCGTCCACTACTACTGGTCGTTGGGAAATCGCTGCAGATAGGGTATCGAACATAACGCCAAACCAGTATAACAGATTGAAGGTATCTCGGTCTTCTTGCTGAAGAGGGTCTCGTCCCAGGTCTTGTTCCACGCGTTCCAGTCTCCGTCGTTGGGCGAGTAGCTGTCGCAAAGCTATCTCCAAGAAGATGGGGGCGTCATCGTCTTGTACCAGGGCTTGGAAATGTTCGTAATGCGTTCGCAATCTGGGATCCGTACGTGCATGTAGCTGTGTAGTGTCTAGGGGCCGTTGGGTCAGCGAGAAGATAATCAAGGCAAAGATGACACGGAAAGAACCGATGTCAGCAGCCTCGTGTAGCAGCTTAGCTGTTTGATGCCAGAGTGTCTCTTGCATGGATCGCTCAAACTCATTCGACTGAGGAAACCTGTCTGCCGTAAACTGATGGTCAGTCGCACGACCTCCTGCCCCTCTTTCGCCTGCTTGAGCCCATTGTGACGCGAACGACATGATGACCATGTTGAGTGCTTTGGAGATTGTACGTTCTTCCTCGTTTGTTGGTTTTCGGATGCGAAGGGTCGCGTAGGCTCGATCAAGTTGAAGTACACGGTTGTACATTCTGTTTGACCAGGTACCACTCCATTCCCGTGTAGCCTTACTCGCCGAGAGGAGAGAAGGCTTGTAGCGCGTCATCGTATACGGGCAGTTGTGCTCTGTGAGCCAACATGAGAGAGAGTTTTCCATGCTGTCGTTGTAGATGCGAAGTAGCCCGTTGGTCACAAAGCCCCGAGACGTTCTCTCCCCCAACAGTATGTCCATGAATGGGGATGAGGCATCGTCTCTCTGGTTTCGACGATGAGGACGCAGAGCGAAAGAGCTTCTCCGCGAGTATCGCGGCTGGAGCAATCCTTGCTCATTGTTCCTCCCCAACTGCACTGAGTCTAGATCCAGCGAATGTATCGATTCATCCGATATGTTATCAACGTCGTCACTCGGCGGGTCTTTGAAGTAGTCCTCGCGCGTCTCGTCTTCGTCTTGGGATGATGACCACTGTGTCCATCGATCTTGTACTTCGTATTGAGCTTCGTTCGCCGTAGATCCAGGTGGTATTTGATACTGATAGCTGACAGAGCTACTTGCTGCATGTTGTTCGAGCTGATCGCTATCACTCTTCTCCTCTGAGCGTCTCCTCTTCCTCTCTCGCTCTGGATGAGTCACCGATGCTGTCTTCAACCAGTTGAAGGTGCAGACTTGGTTCTTTCGAAGGCAGTTGGAGCATGTCTGGTTCGCAAAGTCGACGCGTTTGTCTGCATCGCAGGCTCGTTTGCCGCGCTTGCATGAGTCGCAGCTGCGCATCTGTTGGCGGCGAGGGGGTTCGGGAGGTGCCGTAGGCTGTGGGACCGCGGACGATGGATTCGCTGGCGTCGCCGAATTGTCGGAACCCTTTGAATGAGGTTTACCAGTCACCTCACTCATAGTGCTGCTGTCAAACGTCTTCAACATCGTTGCGGTCCAAGTTTGTAAACAAAGGAGACGATGAAACCCTGGGGTGAAGATGGATAAATTGGCGATAGCCGTTCATAACACCTCAGTGTATACATGGTACCCGGTATGCGAATATTGCTAAGCGCGGACGCGTACAGGCCCTTGCCGCGACCCCGCTTTTTCGCATTCATCTTATCCCATGCGGAGGATCAGCTACGAGGATGAGAAGCCTCAAAACTCTTCTAGACGTCATAGTGAAGATCTCGTCCGTCTGAGTGGTGAAAAGCGTATTTGGGTTCCGTCACTTCCCGGCATGCATCAAACCATGGATTGTGACAGTCGTGCTCGAGAGCGCCTCGCGTGGGAAAGCTGAGGCAGGAGTGTCAGTGAATCGGTCCGCGCTGGCAGGTTGGGTTCTGGAAAAACGTCAACTAAATTGATAGAGTCTGCGCGATGCCCTTTCTCGACTAGCGTCCTTACGGCGTCTACTAACCGATCTCCGATTCCCACCACATCCCGACTTGCTTCATCTCACGTCAGTCCCTGCCGCAAAAGAATATAAGATCAGCTTCCACGTCGGTGTCCCCGGGTCTTGGTTACTTGGTACCTCGGCGACTTGCATTGGCCCAAGAGACGCGATGGTTCAACGTCTACGAAGGTAGGAGCTGCGCTCAACGACGCTTGCAACGCCCTTCTCCCAGCCGCACCGCCACCAAAGCACCGGGACGGAAGTCTAAAATGCAGTACATGCCGATCCGCTTGACCTTCACGCACGCATCACTCGAGACGTTTGTCATGCTCCATCCCTGCTGGCATTCACCAGCAAGGTACAGGACGAATCTCGGGAAAAGCGCTTGTCAGATCTGGCTCCACAGCAAGGATACCCTACCAAGTGACTCCGGAGAACAGGCGGATTTCATTCTGGAACGTTACTTCCACGGTGCAAGACACGAGGACCCGTTTGACACGCGTGGGGGTCGGGACATGGCCAGGATCTCTCGACGCATGTGAGACGATGATCATGGACAGATTGGTGTGGGATGGCATTGCGTAGCCGTATTGTAGCCGTATCAACGGGAACACTCTCGGACCTTTACAAAGTATCGCGCTCTTCCGCTGGCATAGAAGCGCGTTGTATGGGGCTCGTCACGAGGCGGACTGCAGCCCGTCGGGTGATCGTACCGCGAACAGGCAGGTCAGGAAATCACACCTATGGACGATACTCCGTATTGTTGCAACCGAGACTTGGGCACTTGATACTGTTTCATCTTGAGAACCTTCCATACTCTCGGCTGTTGGCATGCGTCCCGTTGGATGATGTGTTAGTGTGCGGCTCCACGACTATGGCCTTTTATCCGATGCCCGTTGGTTAATTGTAGTGCGGCTCTGGTGATATCACTCCGACTCCGTGTGACCGCTATGGCTGCTATCTTCTTTTTCTTTGGACAAAAACGATATAGGCAAAATTCCCTGTCTGCTACTCCTTGCATGGGCCATCATCTCTCATGAATGGTAGGATGAACTAGATATCGCTCTCAGGGCTTGTTAACATTAGGGGACTCGCTTGTCGAGGACTTTAAGCAGGCTGGTACAATTGTTGTAATTATCGGAAAGCAGGTATCATTGCATCACGTCAAGAGTAACGATAGTGAGGTAGGTAACGGGTGGTATCGCGTGTAATAGTACCTATTAGGCAAAGTAGAGTGTATTGTAACCTAGACGAATTGCTACCTAGGTAGCGATCTCTTGGGATAGACTGTATACTTCTGACCTCGTTTACCCGGCTCCCACAACAAGTATGCTTCAAATCTGCGTACCTAGACTTCTCTTCCCTACATAAATGCATTGCGGTGGTTTTATTGGCTTAGAATACCTTGTCTGTAGCCACGTCAATAGTAGTCACTGCATGCCTTGCATAAATTGTAGACACTTCTACCTCAGAAGAGATGAAGGAAACAGCGCCTTATCGGCAAGCTTGTGCTCTGTTTTAGAGTCTTGAACGCTTCTTTTCTAGCCGCAGATCTTACCATTAGGTACGATAAGAGCGTACTT